CAAGCTCTGCAGGCCTGCAGGCTTGCAGGACCCCGGCGTAGAACAGCGCCGCAACCATGCCAGATGCCGTGCACCCGTACCCCGGGTTCTCCAAAACACTTTTGGAGGTTTCGCGGATTTTCGGCTCCATATTTGAAATCAGGGCCTTTGAAGTCTGATAGCGACAAAATAGAAGTCGAGAATTTGGGTAGACGGTGCCTTTGAGTGGCATGACATTGGCGAAGAGTTTTGCTAAACACTTCATTTGAAAGTCAGAGTCTTGAGTATACTGACTACAAAAAAGGAATACATCCGGTGGAAATCAGCATACTTGCTTTGTTGTGTTCGCTTATTTTATACCACTTCCAGCTTGACAAATTTGGACTTTCAGACGCTTATAAAGCGCTCAAATGCTTTACGCTTCTGCTTAACAACCTTTCTTTCTCAGAATTTGAGTGGCATGATAACCCTTCTTTCTAAGAATTGTTCCGCCGAAATGGAAAGTGGGTTTGGAATCAGCGTTAAAAGGCGCTTCTACTGATATATATCTCTTTTTGGTTTGCCAGATATTGTTGGTATCCCTCCCTTTTTAGATGACAGCCTTAGCTTGGTTCAAAATCAGTGTCCATGAAGATTTTGTATACAGTGCATGACGTATATGTTCTTTAGTTTCTGTTTCACGTAGATGTTCTAGTCTCAGCAGAACTGCTTGTCGGAAAAGATTAGTAGGCTTAATTCCGGCGGCTGCTTTTGTTTTTCCGATTTCATGGGTTTAGTCATCTATCAGGGAGCAGGCGCCGGAGGCTTCTGTGTCTACATCGTCCACGTGACAGAGGAAATAGATGATAAGAGGGCCTAGATGAAATACCAAAGAGTGAACAAGTTTCTGAAAGTGAACTACATGTTGTGTTTATAAGGGCACCGTGAATGAGAGTAAATTCGAGTGATCATATCCAAACTAAATTTTCGAAGAAAGAAACTGCATTTGCTTATTGTTTTTGATCAAAAAAGTCTCGTTTGGATTCAATAGTGATTAATATCATCATATCATATATAACTATAGTGCTTGTTTTTAGCGTACTACTTCTATTATCATGAAGAGACGATGATCTATGCGGCTCTTGCGTTCTCTATCATCTTCGGATTATTCCATGAATTCTGTGGAGGATGGTTTACGAACGATATTCTTGCATTTTCATCTATTTACATAGCGTGCTCAAGAATACAGGTAAACAAATTCAAATCCGTGGTTTCAGCTGAATTATATGTTTCTAATTTAGGCTGTGAGCTATCAGACGGGCGTAATATTATTAGTGGGAATGGCGCTGTTTGATTTGTTCTGGCTCTATGTTATAGATTTATTGAGTGAGTACAAAAATTCTATTTTTTTCTGTTTTTCTTAATATTTTTTCGGTTTTTGTTTTACTTAGTTCAGCTATCATAAGGTCATTTTTAGGCACTGTCACTCAAGAATCGCGTGCACCTCTGATGATTATGATTCCCAGAGATCATAAAGGGAATAAGCAGAGTCTTGCGATTG